GTGCTTTCAATGATATAGATAAAGACATCATGAAAGTTGTAATTTTACTATGAATAAAAAGAAATAACGTAATGGTGTACTTTTCGCTTCAACACAAACCGCAACTGAAACCAAATAGAAGACTACAAAAAAAAACCAAGTTTGGTGACATTATTTTATTTATTTATCATTTTAGTTAGATAATAGTTTAAAAAAAATAATGATACTCGAGATGAAGAAAGAAGTCGAACAGAATCCTCAACATCATACGTACACAATAGGAGTCTTTTGTTTTTTCTTGTTCATTTGAAAAATGTTTTATTGTGTAATAAAGCGTTTCGACAAGGATTGATACAATTCTTCATTTTGTCAATCATAATTTTAAAAGTATGACTCAAATAAAGTTAATCATATTTTATCTTGAGCTAATGAATTTTGTTGAGTATCACTAATTTGAGGAAGTCAATGAGAAAGTACCACAGACGATAACAATATACTTGTTACGTAATGGCGCTAATCTTCAGTTTATATCCTTTCTTGTTTCATATTGTTGTTTATACCTACTTCTCCGTTACTCTTGTATTCTTTTACTTTAGTAATATTTGTTCTACGTGAATATGTCTATACTTTATCATCATTTTGAAGTAGAAAAACAAACAGATAACATAAAGAAAGATTCGTTGACACAGACTAACGTTAATGATTATTGTTATATTGAAATAAGTCCGAATAATTAATAAGTGTTTCATGAAAAATTTGATTTTTGATCAACTTTCGAAATAAATATTTTACAAATCAATTTTTAACTTAAATGTTCATAAGGAATAATTCATAGTAACTGAATTGTGAAATCATAATTAAATTGTCGTACGATAAATGAAATAGACATGATATAACGAAATTAAAAACTAATGACACGAATAATAACATCATACTTGAATTCTTGTAATTAAAATTGACTTCTAACGACTAAGACTACATCTCCTTATTTTCTCTATCAAGTTTTAATTAAAAAAAAACTGTTAGAACAATCCTTGTGTAATTAAAATTTGAAACACGAGGTATTTATTCTTGCTAATCGTAGAAAGATTGTTTTATTCTATCTAATTTATTAGATATTTCTTCACCATATTATAACGAGACGTTATTGACATACGATTTGTGATCGCCTATAAACAACGTTTATCGCTGTCTCTGATGAAGGACAGACGTTTCTAAGGATGTCCGCTATGTGTGTAAAGGGGGGGGGGGGGGGGGGGGGCGAAATTTCTACTTCTATACTTCAACACTCCTTTTAAATCCTTTTTCCTAAAAGCTCAACTACTCATAATTTAAAGCAGTATTATATATCAAAATCATATTATCATCATAACGGAGTGTTGTGAGACAAGTAATGATGTGATCATATCACTTCATCAATGAATAACCATAGTATGCAGTATCAAATACTCGTTTCATTGATATTTCGATCACTATTTCTATTTCATAAATCTAATAATTGAATTGTTTTTCATCATTTAATTATTCTATATTTCTACTCAATAAGACAAGAAAGAAGAAAAATGGATTTGTATTGATAAAATATCATGTTGAGAGAAAAAAAAACCTACAAACGGTTCGTGAAGTCTTATATTCTCCAAATTTAACATCATGTGACTCTCCTGTTTACTTCAGGTATTATGAAGCAATTGAATTGATTAGTAGAAGAACTATGAATATACGAAACAATAAAAGAAAAACCTTGATCAACTGTATAAGAAATCTATGAGATTGATTTCAGTCGAGACAATTGACTCGCAAAACAATATTTCGTATTACATCTCAATTATTTAACTAAAACAGTTCAGTTTCTAGCATGTTTAACGAAAAGTAAAATTCTTTTCAATTCTGCTGACTAAAGCATTTTTTTTACATTATGTATTAAATTGAGAATGCATTAAAGTTTTAACTGAATTATTGATCAACTGTAAAATGGTGATTTTTTTTTTGAAAGTTTGTTCTCCTTCGAATTTTATTTTGTTCCACTCAAATTCACTTTTCTTTTTGCGTTCTTTCGTTAAAAAACATATTAATTAAAAGACAACGACATATATACGAAACAACTTTACTATTAAGATTTTATTTCATAGATTCATAATAAAATCAACGTAAAAACGAAAAATTTTATGGCAAATTTAGCAATACCATGTACTAAATGTGCTAGTAAAGGTGTTGGTATATTTAAATGTCAGGGATGTTCTAATGTATTTTGTCGAAAACATGCTAGTGAACATCGTGATAATCTTAGCCATCAATTGGATGAACTTGTTTCTGAACATGATCAACTTTATCAATTAATTAATCAAGAAAATAATGGATATTATACATTAATTAATCAAATTGATCAATGGGAAAAAAATTCCATAATTAAAATTCAACAAGTTGCACAAAATATTCGACAAGACATTGTTCAATATATAAAATCACAAAAAGGTATAAATAGAATAAAACATATATGAGAAAAGAAAAACGAAAAGAAGTTCTATTTGTTAATTTAACCTTGTAGAAATCTTATCAAAAGCATTATGATTGTATTTTTAAGTTTTCATTTTAAATTCAAATCTTGATTTACTTCTTACTTTGAATGAAGTTTTATCTATTTAGAAAATGCTTCTGAAACATTAAAATATTTCTCTCAACGTCTTCGTAAAGCTCGTGAAGAAGATGATTATATTGAAAATGATCTTCATTTATGGTCATTAAAATTAGAAAATATTAAAAAAGATCTTACAACTATGAATTCATCTATAATACTTCGTGAAGATCTAAAAGATACATTGATTGCTAATGTATATTTATCATCAATAAAACAACAAATACTTACAAATGAAAGTTTTTTACGATCAGTTGGCGATATTTATATTGAAGATAATGGTCAATTAGCAGTGCATGGTGATCAAAAACGAAGTGATGCTTTTTTATGTGGTAAAAATGAATATATACGTGGTAAACATAAAATACGTTTTATTATCAATAAAAAAAATTCCGATTATATAACAACATTTGGTATAGCATCAATAGAATCACAATTATCTGTATATGGTTGGAGTAGTGATGATCAAACAGTTGGTGGTGGATATTCACAATCAAAAAATGTATTTAATCAACGTGATATGAAAGGTGAAACAATATTACAAATAGAATTCGTAATTGATTGTGATAATAGAAAAATTTCGTATTTTAATGAACGTACAAGATGTACAAAAGAAATGAATGTTGACCTTGATTTATGTCCATTTCCTTGGCAACTTTATTTTTATTTATATGATACAGGTGATCGTGTTCGACTTTTAACATCAAATCGAATATAAAAAATAAACTTTTAAATATAACAAAACATGATTATTAGATGTTTTCCGATATTTTTAATAAGAAAAAAAAACCTTCTGTATAACAAACTATTCTATTTTTTAATAAATTATTGTATTCATTTCAAACAAATCATTAAAAATAGATTTTTTTGTTTAAAAAATCTTTTAGCTAATCAACCATCCGATATCACCAAGTGTAATATATCAAACAATACTGTTAAACACAAACACTTTCATAAGAATGTCTTCCATTTTCAATGATTAAACATATAAACACATAAACAATACTTTTCCCATTCATTGTAAGTAATGCTAGCAAATTTAACTCTAAAACAAACATAACTATCTATAAGAGAACATTCAAAAGTGCTAGCATTCTTTTGAACTGATATTTTTCCCATAAGGAGACCTTGATGAGCTATGACAAACTTTCATTCAAAATTTTGTTAGTTTTCGCTTTCTAATTGGCAAAATTATAGAAATATTACATAATCTTATCTTTTTTTCAATTTTCAAACAACGTTTTTTTTTATCCTTTCATGGTTGATGCATAGCGTGCAAAAGAAAATCTAGCTTTCAAATAGTAAAATGCAGGCTTATATAACACAAAGAATTTTTCTTCTATAACTTAATGATTTTGTCAGAGAAGAATTTTTCAACAAACCTGATTGGGTTAAATTTGTAGAATAAATCATAGAATTTTAATTTAAATATAAGGTTATTCAGTGCTAGATATTTATGCTATTTTAAGTTAGAACTAAAGAAGTGTTCTTGATTTGAAAACAACATACATTGTATAACTGAATTGGTATAGTCATTTCATGCGTGCATAATACAGTCGTTTTTGCACGAGAAAAATAGTTTATATTTTGAATGATATTCTATTTCACATCAAAAAGATGATTGGGTACATCTAATTTTTTTACTAAAACTAACGAATTTCAAAGTATTTTGATCTTAAGACACGAGTAATATTATTTTCAACTCCGATAATTTACCAAAAAAAGAATGAATTTTTTTGCATATAGTATGCAATGAAAATCCCGTTAGTATGATTTATATGTTCGAAATAAAACCATGGATATAAGAAAATCTTTAAATAGACTATGGTAAAAAAATTATTCTCCTCTTCTTTTTTTTTATCTAAATATTTCCTTAATCAATTTTCTTACTGTATTATTCGAATCGTAAATATGGCTTGAAATATTTTTTTTTTATTTCAGAAAGGTTTTACAACAAATATTCATATGACGTCAATCTGGGTTGTATATATGACCTACAATACTGATAAGGAAAAGAAACCTAGATCCTGCTATAGATTTAGAGAAAATTCATTTATTAATGTGTAAAATTAATAATTACTGAAATGTTATTGATACCGAGGATTAAATGAAGCAGAGAATATTATGCCCTCTAGATATGCCTGGAAATAGTCAATTATTAACATTAAATTAGTGTTTTGTTGCAAAATAAATATAGTTAAACTGAAGAAATAAAAGCTCGCTCATAAAGATATTCATTTCTCATTTTTTATATGAAGGAGGAAGTAAGCTCAGTTAACTTCTTTTTCTCATCAGTCTGATGACGTCCAAAGTTTATAGCTTAAAAGAAAGAAAACATGTGTGTATAAAAGTCATTTTTTATTATCATATTATCAAAATTGTAATAGATATGTCTTCATCAGAGACTAGTTTCATTGCATCATTAAATAATGTGATGCTTCAGATTAATCGTTATTGTACAATATTTATTCTTCTATTTGGTTTTGTTGGAAATATTCTAAATATATTAGCTTTATCACAACGAAATCTTCGTTCAAATTCATGCGGTTGGTATTTTCTAACATCATCTATTGCCAATCTGATTTCAATTATTTCTGGTCTTCTTACACGTTTATTATCTGGTTGGAATAATGATCTAACGGAAACAATTGATTGGCTATGTAAACTTCGAGCTTTTGTTGTATTTTCTTCTCGAACAATTGCCTTGTGGCTTATCATGTTTGCAACAATTGATCGTTGGCTTTTGTCATCTGCTAATGCTCATTATCGACGGTTGAGTACATTAAAAAATGCTCGACGAATTACATTCATTGTTGTATTTATTTTTTGTCTTATGTATGTTCAAATGTTTTATTGTTATCAAGCAAATTTATCGGATACACCATTAAAGTGTTATGGAAAAACAGATATATGTCGTCATATTAACGATCTCATCTATATATGTATTGCTATCTTATTACCAATAATCTTCATGTTAATATTTGGCTTATGGACAATAATAAATATACACCAATCACAAAATCGTATACGAGTGGTGACTAGTGAACCGCATCGCAATATAAGAAGAAACGAAGAGTTGTTAAAAAAGAAAAGTAATCGTTCTCTTCTGAAAATGCTTTTAGTTGAAGTTATCATCTTAATTTTATTAATATTTCCACAAGCCATACAAAAATTATATGCAACAATAACACTTGATGAAAATAAATCTGAATATAATAAAGCTATAGACGATTTTGTTTACAATTTTGCTCTTTTATTGACTTTTATCGCAAGTGGAATGCCATTCTATATTTACACACTATGTGGTGGATCTGTTTTTCGAAAAGCATTATTCAATGTTTTTAAATGTTAACCCTAGTGTATGATTACCTTTAGAACTACCACCAGTTATGCACCTAGAATTTTGTTCAGATTCCAATTGATGAAATAAATGCAATATACGAAATAGTTACTACTGTATCATGGTCATGTGAAAGCTCTACAGAAGACTTGATTTCAAGAAGAATAAACAGACACTAGTTAATTTGAAATATAATTAGCTAGTATTTTTTTCATATAATGTTAAATTTCTGCTTAATATTGAAGATGAATATTTCGATCTAAATAAAACAAAAAAAAAGTTATAAACATATTTCAATTAAAAATTATAGTTAATTATTTGTCTACGAAAATTTTAATTTATAACTTCAATAGGCATGAATAGTTTTATTGTTGTGAGTATTAATGCTTAGATATTTTCTTGTGTATATTTTCAAAGGATTTAATATACTATAGTTGTTGAAAACTCAACCTTTAAAGCAAAGATCACTACAAATTTTTGTATTTATTTAAAATTAGATCGAATTTGCCTCTTTCTCATTAGAGAAAAATAATATTGCTATTGACAGATATCAAACAAAGAAAAGAAAAAAAATTTAGAAGCGAGTCGAAAGTTTCTAACCAAAACATTTATTTACGTTTCGTGCATTCGAAAAAAGTGAGAAGTGACGTATTCGAATTAGAATTTTGTGCTTATTCAGAATACATAGAATTTTTCTGTGATTTAGACTATTGACTTATGATTAAATCTTAACAGAACGGAAAAAAAATCTTCTGAATAAGCAAAAGACTTATTTTTCTGAAGACAAGTTTGCTGTCTGTAGACATCAAATAACTGTAAATCTATAGCACTTAAGGTTGATCTATATGTTACAAAACAACACAAAAGTCCCGAGCTTTGATTAATCTGCTAAAATATTGCAGAGTTTTGACGAAAGATCATTTTTGCTCTGAAAAGATGACAATAGTTATTTTTTTTCCATATACTTTATATAAACCTTTACTACATCTTTACACTTTGCAAAAAGTTTTATTTAAATGTACTGTTCTCTAGAGAATTATCTTCTATGTCTTACAATATATTTGTTAAAATTTTGTAGCATGTCTGAAACAAGTTCCATTTGAAGTTTTTTTCCTCCGAAAAGCATTGTTTGAGTCAGCAAAGTCTCAAAAATTAACTTGTTTTCTTCTATAAATTTAAGTCTTTTGTAAAATTCTCAAGTCTTATTCATTTTTTCTGATTTAATAATTCGAATTTTATCAAGTTGAAATTTTGATTTCACTAGCAGACATAAAGCTCTTGTAAACCTTAAGCTTTACTAGTATTTGCTTTACCAACAATCATTCTTTCAATAATGGCCTTCCCATAATCTACTTTTGCCTGCAATACCGCATTACTCAAAAGTATCGACGATGTACCAATACTAGATTACCTATAGAAGGACAACTATTAGTATACAGCAATCAGAAGATAGACGACCGTTTTTAGTATTAAACTATTAATGGCTTTTATTCTGCTTGACAATTACATGAGTTGACAAAAACTATTGATCAATCATATTTGTCAAAAAACTGCGTCTATCTTAGATACAAAGAACTACTTAGTGCAAAGCTCAGCAGGACATTTTTATTATTGTTTACTTATCATTCCGATGTTGACCTACTATCAAGCTAATCTAAATGATACACTTCCAAACTGTCATACTTGATCAACAGAATATGTTTTAACGGCTGATATATCATTTGAATGAATCAATATCTCAAGTTCTTTATTTCTAATATTTTTTTTATTTGTTTTTGACTGACCATTGTCTAATATATCTCCAACTCGTTATCAAATACAATCAGTCAAAAATGTAAGAATATAGTTTATGAACGTTTAATAATACTTTTCTTTCAAGTGATTATTCTAATAATAGTAACATTTTTTATCAACTGACATAGCAATTTGATATAAAAATTAAAAATGAATAATGCATAAGCTAAACTACAAAAAAAAACTATTAATAGCTTTTTTTTGACAATAGCATTTACTGTATTATTTTATATTTATTTTTCAAGTAATAGTAGTAGTAGCTTGTTTTTTTCCCTAAAACTATTATTAGAAGTCTCACAAATGTTTTGTCATATCATGTATAAAAATATGTAGAAAAAAAAAATTTTTTAGTTAAACAATAAAACATAAGATAAAAAAATGATTAATTGATTTCAGAATAAATTAATAAACCTTTACATAAACTAGATAGTACACAAAAGAACAGAGATTATATTGATTACTTGACAAGACTACTTTTTTAACACTTGAGAATTTGTCATAAATAAATTATTATTAAGTCCTTTGTATCTAATCTATATTTTGTCACTTACGTTTTTTAAAAAACTAATTAACACAATAAAAGATATACGAATACAGTGATAAAAAATTTATATGAATGTTGTAAGATCAATAAAAAGAAAAGAAAAGTACTGATAAAATGATCATCTCTATGTACTAGATAATCATTAAGAAAATCTAATCACAATAACATAGTATAGGTCAATAGCAGCTGATAAAAAGAGCGAATAGCAAGGAAAAAAAATAATAAGTATTCCTATGATCTTATCGATGATGAAAATGGCAGTAAACAAGTCGATAAAATAAATATCACATAATAAATATACGAAATAGAACATCCAAATAAATGTTAGATTTTCTAGTAAGTTGTCGATTAGAATCAACATGAAGATTCTTGTTTAAATTAGTAATCAAAACTTGTCTTCAAAAAATCAGGTAATATATATACATAAGATTACATAAACTAATAATCGTGTATAATCGATTAGTAAATATAGATTAATTCTCAGTCGTAAGTTCGATTTTTTCTATTTATCAAAATCTTTTGTCAAGGAAATTTTGTTTTTAAAATTTTTTTACAAAATATTAAGCTATATACAGAGTTTAGCATTGAAATAAAAACTCAGCATTAGAAAATACAATCTAAAATTTAAAAAGGAATTCTATTTTAGACATCTACTATAGGTCGATGAATTCATTCATTTTCACGAGAATTTCTCGTACATTTTCGGACAAGTATTATTATTTCGATAAAGTAACATTTAGTTTAGTTGTCTAGATAATATTCAATTCTTGATTTTTTTAAACTCAAGTGAAGCTCTCTTTTTGTTATAAGCGAGACAGTTTGAAGCATATTGTCTACGAGTCATTGAATAACTACATGGTATTATATAGAAAGCTGCTAATTCATATCCATTATGATAAACAAGGAGGAAAGATTTCAGAAACGATTCATTATCAAATCGTATACTTTCATAGTAGGATGTCATATTAAATATTTTCATATATCTTTTTGGTCATCGCAAATCAAAGATTATATAACAAAACATATGGATGCAAAATATTGTTTTCCTCCCAACATCAACGATACAATCTAAAAGCATTTGAAATTGACATATTCTTAAAAATTCTTTTTTATTCTGAAGAATAAAAAACCAAATACATCTTGAATGAATTAGAATCACTATTGTGTTTTCTAGCATAGAAAACAAAAAAATAACTTGTAATAATGCATCTGTTACTACTCACTATTGATGTACTTTAATCAATATTTAATCGTTAGACATGATTTTTTCTGAGTACATGTCACTATAGATAGAAAAAGATAACACATTTTTTTCTTCTAGCTGAGATTGACATTACATTTGTTCTTTTTTATCCCAGTATCTGACTGCTTATTTTTAGTAGTCAGTTAATGTTTTAGTGCATGTAAATGTATTCTTACTCTCGTGATTTTTTCTAGATAGAAAATATAACCTTGAATATCTTGCTGTGTGTAAAAACATACAATATTTTTAACAACGTAGATTTCTATATGTGTATTTCGAAAGGTTCTAGAATCTTTATTATGAATGGTGGTTTCACTTGTTCTTCCATAACGTTTGATAGTGATAAGAATTTGTATCAATGCAAAATCGATTTTTCTCTAACATCCGTTTTTTTATTTCCGACGATTTCTATTTGTTTTGAACATAAAAAAAGAATCTTAGCAAACATTACATTGTATGTAATATTCAGTTTATCATAAAAAATAGAAATTATTGATTTCTATAAAAGATTAATTTCTTGATAATGTCAACATACGGTTTCGAAATATATTTATTCTATAGAAAAGTAAGAAAACCTATAAGAGGACAGTATTCATGTTAGAAAAACATTCCATTAAATTATATCATCTAGTATTTGCTCTGATTTAATTCTTGTATGCAAAGAAAAACTTCAGAAATCTTCGAAAATGTTTAGTTGATATCATTCTACTTAATGTAAGTCATGCTGTCCTTTCGGAAGCTGTGTATTGTCCTTGAAGTCATTGTTCCTATCCCAGAAACACATATGTTATCTATTGATGCAGAAAAATTTCTATCAAATATATTCGTTGATAACTGAAAGTTTTTTCCAAACTTGACTACGTTCAACAAAAAATGATACTGTAAAATCTTTTGATAACTTCTCATAATAACTATCAGACTGCTACTTTAAGAAATTAACAGTGATGAGTACGAAATCAACATGTAATACTGACGATAACCAATAGCCTATATTTGTGCAAGTAGAAATAGTGAATTTTTTTGAAGAAATGACTGCATTTATTTATTAACACTAGATTAAGGTTCGAATCTACTTCTCATTGACAAAATACAAAAGGTCGTTTTGTACTCAAGAAAAATTCGAGACAAAAAATTCTATACCGTATAATTATGTTGTATGTCATCGCTATATAAGTTAATTATCACCTAAATGAATAGTAGTCAAAGCATAGAAAGCGAACTCTATATCTCTCAAGTTTTCTAGCATACTAAAATAAATATTAGGACGTCATATTTTCTTCGAAAGCTAATGAAAAGCAACAAGTCGTCAAATAAACGCAATCGATTCAGCGTGTTAGAACGAAGTCTTCTACAAATAGTAAGAATATTCTATTAAAGATGAAATTGAATAACTCTTATGAAAGAATTCGCATTTTTATTTTAAAATTAGAA